AGAGCCTATGTGCTTCCGCTCTTTGCGGCCGGCTGCAAGCACAGTGGTGATGATGACTGATGATGCTAGGATGTAATAGTATGTTGCTATGTTGCACCTTCGGTTCTTACACTCATGCTACGTAACCATTACATACTTGATGCTTGCAAGTTTACTTTTCGTGTATGTCAGGTTTGTTTCGTGCAGTTCGTGTTCAGCTGTACTTCATCATTCCTTCACTGTCTGGTACTGTATCATAACTACATCAAGAAACATTTCATACACACACACACATGTATATATATATATATAGGTGTATATATATATAGGAGGTTCGTAGATCAACGTGTATATATATATATATGTATATATGTGTGTATATATATCTATATATATATATATATTTATACACATATGTATGTATGTATGTATGTACGTACGTATGTATGTTCGTATCATCTCGTGTATATATATATATATACACTTATATATGTACATTTATCTACACCCACATATAATATAGCTCTATCTGTATATATGCATGGCTATGAGCGAACAGGCAAGCCTAAGGCTGCCTCCAGCCCCTGCAGATAGGACGCCCGGGGTGGCTTTGTGGCGACCCGGAGTCATTTTGTGAAGACCCGCGCGGAGAAAAGGAGACGAGTGGAGCCTCGAGAAGTCGCGGCCCTAAATCGTAAACCCTAAACCCTAAACCCTAAACCCCAGTGGTGTATATGTCGATACCAACGTAGGTGCACATTTTGAGGGTATGTGCATGCTTGTACACACATCCCATCCTCCCATGCATGCTTCCACACCCTAAGACCCTTAGACTCTGAGCCTTAGAGCCTGAAGTTCAGAGCATGACCCGACACGGAACCCCGGAGCCGAAACCCAAAGGCTTGTGGCCGTACGCCTCAATGCAACGCTAATATAGGGTCCTAAAGAAGTACCTATACTAATTTGCGGGTTCCTGATTATAAATATAGTATAAGGGGCCCAAAACCCTACTCTAATTATTAAGGCCCCTATATTAAGCCAGTCATCCAGAACTCCGACCCGGAACCGTCGAGCCGAATCTTGAATCGTATGCCGTCGTATGCCCTACCTATAGTCTCCATTGTAGTTCCTTCCTTTTTGGAACCGATTCTATAGTTAGGATCTTTCCCAAAAAGGGACTTTCGGTAGTTAAGAGACCCGACTGCTTGCACTTCGCCCTGGCATCCAGACCTACGGCACCAATGGCAAGATTTGCACAAGGCCAGCGACCTCGCTGCCGTAGTGCAGTAGAAGCAGAAGTGGCCGTTGGTCTTGCACGCACTTTCCAAATTTTGAACAAAAACCTGTCGCATAACTTGGTAGACAAACAAGTGCATAACCCTAAACCCTAAACCCTAAACCGTGGCAAGTTGAGACCTAGTGTCCCCCGACTTTGCAAGGTCAGACACCGGGGACATCCTGCCGACGCAGACGCTCGGACGTTTGCAATTCAGGGTTTCTGAGCCTTCGGTTGTTGCAACTTTCTTTGGTTTGACTGTGCTGATTCTGGAGCGATAGGTTTTGGTCATTTTTTCCGCTTAAAGTTCTCGGCACCCTAAACCCCACAGCCGACAAGAACTTAGACGACCACCACACTCCGACAACGAAGGAAGTTCCACCACCTGACGATCCAGACCGTGACACCGGAGCCAGTCGCCCAGTGGCTCTGTGTCTTTCAGGATTGCAGCCAGCGTTTAAACTAAAGGTACTACAGGGATTCTACCTTTCGGGGTTTGTTCTGGTATTGAAACTCTCATCTGTTTCTTCAGCCAGTCTGAAGCCTGATAAGCCCTTGAGGCTTTCATGTGTGTGTGTCTCTCTCTCTCGCTCTGCACTAGGTCCCGTCTGCACCCCTTAGGCAAGGGTTTTAGGGTTCACAGGATGGCCAGGACGGCGCACGAGATGCCATGTCAATGCGAAAAGCTCGCGCAGAACCTGAGCCTACGAATGGACATGCAGCTTCCGATGCCTGTGATGCCAAGGCCCGGCATGACAGACAAAGCTTCATTCGCGGAGGCCCTCGGCTTGTCATTCAGTTGATGAGGTCTTAAGTCTTTAGGGACAAGATGCGATCTGCAACGGACTATGGTCATTGGCATGGTTTTGTGGACACTGATTCAGCCACAGCCGCGGATGAACGGAAGGAGTGGATCTACGAAACCATGCTGAGGATGATGATGATGGTTCATTCTTGGCAATGATGATGATGATGATGATGATGATGATGATGATGACACTAAATTAAAGATGCAATGTAGGTGTCCGCTAGGCGAGAGACCTTTCTCGCCGCGTGTGAAGAAGAAGATGATGGTGATGAGGAGGACCATGATGACGCTCGTTCTCTAAACTAGCACCATCACCGTCGACATTGATGCTATCTGTGGTGGCCTACCGGCCGTTGTTGCGGAGGTTCATGGTTGAGCTTTTGAAGGCTTGCCGTCGTGATTCGCCCTCTTGCTTCGGTTCCGCGTGGTTTCAACCTTTCAGCCGGTTCGAATTTCTCTCCTCGCGACCTGTCCAGATACTTTGGATCGTGGACATCTCGGCCCCCGCGAAAAGTTGGGGGAACCTCACAGAGCTGCTTAGCTTTCTCTGCTTTTAGGGGTTTAGGGTTTTGGGTTTAGGGCTTGGGTCCTTCGGGTCTTGGTTTTTGCTTGGGAGAAGTGCCCGGCTCTGAGGGCCGTGAAGATCATGACCGATTCGTTTGCAGTGGGCACGGCAGCAGGGCAGCAATCAATGCGGCAGATATTCAAGATAGGGTCCAGGGTTTGGGGTTTAGGGGTTCAGGATCTCAACTCGAGAGCTCCTTCAGCTTCATTTCGCTGTCAGAACTCGGTGCGGCATCTGTTTTGGGGCTCTCTCGCTGCCTTCCTCTGGATCGTCGTCTTTGCAACGTCAAGACCAAGCGAAGTGCAGAGCTTCGTCTCAGCTCCTAGAATTGCTACGTAGAAGTGGCCGGCCGCTGGCAGGAGCATCTAGGACTGGCAGGGCCTGTGCCTTGCACTCCCTTCCAGAGTATTGCATATTGAATAGGAGTTGTGCTGTGCATGCTTGCTGGTAACTTTGTCTCGGGACATGTTTGGCACAAGTCAGCTCCGCTGCACGTGCGAGGTAGGCATCCCTCAAAACAGCCGTGAGGCTTTTGCGAACCAGGGAGGAAGACCCAAAAGTATGCTGACTTCCAGGTGGACGAGCTGGCAAAGATCCGGAACGGCACGGCCACCTGAGACATCGGTTCGTACAGACAATCATAGACATATATCGCGACTGCGGGACTTGCCAGGTTCTTTTAAGTTCGAAATTTCTTGGTAGACACTTTGCTCTCTTTGCTGTCCGATGACGTGATATGATCAGCGTAGCTCTTGGCAACTTCGTAGAATCTGGGCCCTGCAGTCTTCCTAAACCATGAGAGATGCTGGCAGCGAGAGCGAAAATGGAGTCTCATGTCCTTCTCTTCCAGATTTGGCCCTGGCCCTAAACCCGGTATTCCCGGAGCACACAATTGTGCTTGCCATACTTCTACTGCTGCTGAGGAATGTGCTACCGAGCAACCTTGCTCATGGCATCGGTACGTGGGAGTTTCTGCAAGCATTGCCAGAACGAAGATAGTATAGTCTAGCATTAATATGGCATAGTATGAGATATAAGAAGGTCATTTGGGATGAAAAGCAGAACGATTCAACACTGAGTAAAAAGCTGAGAGCTAGCGCGGTGATTGCAGCCATGCATGTGCAATCTTTGTGGGGCGGTGTCAGGACGTCATTCACGAGCATGAGAGATCTTGTCTTGCTCATTCACATTACAGTTTTTGCTTATATCGTTGATCTCACTATAGTCCCTAAGACCCTAAACCCCCAAACCCTAAAGCCGCAACTCTTGCTGCTAAGACTTACTTTGGTGCCGGCCTCTCAGTCCCCGGGCCAAGCTCTATCTATCGGTCTTCCGACTGTAGGAAGAAGGACAAGGGCCCGCACAAAGCAAAAGCAACCTACACCCGAAACCTATAGCCCAAGACCTAAACTCGCAATTCTAAACATCCCTAAACCCCGAACCCTAAACCCTAGACTCAAAACCCTAAGCCCTAAACCCCTAGACCCTAAACCCCTAGACCCTAAACCCTAAACCCTAAACCCCTGGACCCTAAACCCCTAAACCCCAAGCCCTAAACCCCTAAACCTCCAGAGCCTAAACCCCTAACCTGGCCTGGGTCGGATGCGGGGAGTCGAGGTCACGTCCTGTCGAGACCCTGGACTGCAAAGCCCAAGCCCGCATAATGCATACTCCACTATACTATACTATAAGGGTAGTTCTCTAAATTAGGGTTTGTTTTGGGGTCCTCTTTATAAAAGTGCCGTACTATTTATGGAACCCCAAAAAGGGATCCTAATTTAGAGAACTACCCACATGAATACTCGACTCTACTATACTGTATACTATCCTGTAATATACTATCCTATACTCTACTATGCTACATTATACTTCTCTCCTTTGTTAATGCTGTACTATACTGTACTATACTATACTATACTATACTATACTATACTATACTATACTATACTATACTATACTATACTATACTATACTATACTATACTTACTGTTATTGTACGTTTCTAGACTTTCCTATGTTATATACTATGTTATACTAGACGAGACTAGACTAGAGTAGAGTATACTACAAGTCGGCAGCCCTAAGAAACGGTACTTGCCACAACATCCATCGCTTCAAACACTTTTCGCAGAGCTGAACCTGGGCTTCTTCTCCATCGCACCCCAACCATATAAGCCCTCAGTCCCGATATACCCTGATTCCCAATATATCCTATAATATGCTATAACACACTATAATATACTACGATATACTATACTAAACTATAACACACTACAATATACTATGATATACTATAATATACTACCCTAAACCCTAAACCCTAAACCCTAAACCCAACACACTATAATATACTACGCCAGACCCCCAGCCAGGCCGGTGACAAGAAGGCCCAGGCGCTGGCAAGCTACCTGGCGGTGCACGTCAAAGTGCTCCAGGAAGACCGCAAGGCGGCCGAAAGCTTAGGGAGTTTGGGGGTTTAGGGTTTAGGGGTTTAGGGGTTTAGGGGTTTAGGGGTTTAGAGGTTTAGGGGTTAAGGGGTTTAGGAGTTTAGGGGTTTAGGGTTTAGGGGTTAAGGGTTTAGGGGTTTAGGGTTTGGGGGGAGGTGGATTCAGCTGGGGGTTGCGGGTGTGTGCGAGGTTTTAGGCTCAGGATTTGGGTGTTCAGTCGGTGGCAGTGCAGGGTATGAGGTCAGCTATGGGCTTCTAGCCTCGGCTAGGCAAGAGAACTAGAAGCTTGGCTTTCATCGCCGTCGTGTCAGAGCATGCAAGTGATGGCGGGCAAGGTCTTAAGGAGATGAGCATTACCTTATCTTGGGGTCCTTTTTATAAGGATCCTACTATTTATAGGGTACTATATGAGGGCCCCCTATTTTCGGACACCCCCGCATCGCTCGACTCTCGACTATAGGCAGAGATCTCGTCCTCATAAGGCCTCCTAAAGCCCTGCTTCACCGGTTCATGGGGACGTCGGAACTTGGGCTGGTGTTGGAGGCTTTCGTGCTGCATAGCAACAGCTAATGTAGGATGTAGGGGCCTTAATAATTACGAACACGCTTTTGGGCGTTTCTGCTTACAGTTATAGTAAATATACCCAAAACCCTCTTCTAAATATTAAGGCCCCTATATAGAATGCTTGAGCTTCCCCTCCTGGCATGGGAAGTCTTGACCCTCATCTAATCTCCTAGCAGTTGCCGGGTTCCGTACCGATGTCTCTGGCTTTCATTAATATCGGGGACTTAATAATTAGAATAGGGTTTTGGGGGCCCATGATACTATTATTATAATAAGGAAGCCCCAAAATAGTATTGGTAATTATTTAGGCCTCTACATTACTTTGGATCATGCATTTGTGATCGGTGGAGCCTGTCTTCCATAAGCCTGTCCTGAACTTAATGCTAAGTTCGCCGCTAACCCACTCGCCTTGAACCCAGAACGCAGAAGCCTAATATAGGGGCCTCAGTAATTACCTATACTAATGTGGGGGTTCCTTATTGGGCCCCAAAACCCTATTCTAATTATTAAGGCTCCTATATTATAGAACCCCTTATAGTAACCCTTATAGGGCCCCTTTTAAAGGATCCCTATGCTAATTATTGAGGCCCCTACGTTAGACAGCCGGGCAGGCCATTGAGAATCTCCCGAAGTCTCTCAGGGAGGTCGCCGCGCTGTACGGCGAGGTGACAGGGGGAAGCTTGCAAGGGTTTAGGGTTTAGGGGTTTAGGGTTTAGGGGTTTAGGGGTTTAAGGTTTAGGAGTTTGTTGTTGTGGTTTTATTGGCATCGCACTTCGGCTTCTGGTTGAATGTTGCGTGGTACTGCGGTAAGCTGCACGAATCCAGCTTAAAGCAAAATGGAATGCTAGATTTGCACTAGAGTCCTCTAGCTTGACTCCCACTTTCAATCATGCTTGAGATGCGACGGCATTCACCCTAAACCCTAAACCCTAAACCCTAAACCCTAAACCCTGCAGATACCAGGCCCATCAGAGTCTCTGCAATTGCCAGGTGGGTGACAAAAGGGAGCAGGAGGATGTGATGAAGGACCCACGAAGCTCGGGTTTAGGGTTTAGGGTTTAGGGTTTAGGGTTTAGGATCGAGCACATGAGGTCTAGGGGTCCATTATAAGGAGCCGCCAAAATGATATTGGTAACAGCTACACACAGGAATTAAAAACCTATGTCGATCTGTGTTTGTCTGCTGCTTTATACTTCTGTTACAGGTTTTATGGCCTTGCAAGGGCTTATGTGGGGTGCTGGGATTCGGGAGTGTGGCATGGCAGCAAGGGCCTGCTCAAAGCCGCCATCCGGCTTTAAGCCACGTAATGTAGGGGCCTTAATAATTAGAATGCTTATCTCGGAGGTTCCATATCATAACTATAGTATAATGGGCCCTAAAACCCCGTTCTAATTATTACGGCCCCTATAGTACCTTGCCATGGTTCAGGAAAGCAGACTATGTGTTGCAGGATCTCATTCAGCGAGGATCTTCGCAAGGGGCGGACGTCTATATGCCGACGTAGGGCTCGTATATAAACCCTAAACCCTAAACCCTAAACCGTACCCTAAACCCTAAACCCTAACCCTAAACTTATATGATGTTCTGAAGGACATTTTGGAGTTCCACCTTGCCAACGGCCAGAGGGAAGAGGTGGAACCTGCTGCCAGTGAAGATTGAAATCCTTGAAAAGGTTCGCTGGCGTCGACCTGAACCCTAAGCCCTTCAACACCCCTCTGCAGCGATTTGAGTTAAGGGCTTTCTGCGAACATCTTGCCATGGTTCTCACAAGTTTTGCCATCATCCTCGACCTGTCAGAATGACTTTGCAACGTGCCCGGTCAAGATCCTTGGGCTCGACTGCACACAGGCTGCCAAGGTGGAGCAAGAGATCCGGGATCAGGTGAAGGGCAACAAGAAGGAGGCCGCTACTGCCGTCCATGTTCAGTAGGTGTTCCTGCAGCAGAGGCAGCAGCAGCAGCAGCAGCAGCAGCAACAGTGGTAGTTGTAGTAGTAGTACGAGTGGGAGTCGGAGTAAGAATAGGAGCAGGCGACAATGACGACTCCAAGTCGCGCTGGCAGGAGCCTCCCTGCCTCCTCCGCCTTGCAGCCGTCTTCTACTCCATGAGCGCCATGGAGGGTGCCCGGACCCTTGTTGAGGAGGCTGCGGAAGTGGGAGCTTCGTATACTGTCAGGCCACGAGCTCTCCTCTACAGAAAGGTCCAACCCAAGACATCATCCGATATCTCAAGCGGATGCACCAAGATTTTGCAGTTCATCCGTCTAAAACATCTGCGACACGTCCGGACATGCTTTGCGGGTCATTGATCTTCAATCGAGGCCTTTACCTAGAGAACAATACAACGAATCCGCACCCTGGCCAGGCTGTCGCCGGCTTCGGTGCAAGTGGAGACAAGGCCTCTTTGCTGATGCCTGCACTAGTAAGGTTTCGCTGCAGGGACTGCCCAGTACTGTCGCCGCCGCCACAGTGCAAGTGGAAAATTGATCACTCATTCGCTTTGTTTGGTGCTGCTAGCGAGTAGTGCTCGGTTGTGACTCTGTCGTTATCGACTTATCGAGGCGACAGTCAAGTCTTTCGGATGGCGCATCGACCCGGAGCTGTAACTTACGATCCCTGCTACAACCCGAAGCCGAAGGCTGGCAGCGTGACGGCCTTGCGCTCCATGGCGATGCTGTATCTCTCGCCTGGGCTCCGGTGAAACCGCAGGGTTTCTGGATTATAGTATTAGGGTTGTATTGTAGTACTATAGTAGCGTTACTGGATTATGTATAAACGTCGTACTATTGTGCCATAGTGTAGTTGACGGTTTAGGGTTGCGAGGGTTTAGGGCTGGATTGCTTAGGTTTTGGGCTCTAGGCCTTCCGTGGTCGAGGCTTTGAACATGCTTTAGGGTATGATTATAGTTCCCAGGGCAAACGATTAGACAGTATTCGCGGCCCGTATGGAAGGAGCTTTTGAAAGTTTCTAGGCAGCCGCCTGGGTCCTTCGGGCTTACCCAGTATGAAGGCCCAAAAGTTAGGAACCCAAAAAGGACATAAGCATACGCATTTTATAGGGATATCCCTACCTTATTGGGCTTCATTATAAGGGGATTTATATGGGATATCCCTATCCTATTTTTTGCTTATGTGCTTTTTTGGGGCCCTAAAAAGATTGGCTAAAGCTGTCAGTCATGCTGGGGCTCATTGCTCATGGAACTTCAACCTGAAACTGCAGCTGTGCGAGCTAGGATTAGCGGACCCTTGGGGATATAGACCCTCTCAATAAGGTCCCTTTTAAGACGGCCACAAGTAGGGTTCAGAAGGGGTACCCTTTAAGGGGTACCCCTGATAATACTACCTAAGCTGCTCAGAGCCTGAGCCCAGAAGCTTGAAGTGGTATTGGACGTCCGGTGTTCAGCTTCAGATTGTACTGATTCACCACCACGGCAAGTTCGCAGCAAAGAGGATGACTCCCTGAACTTTGAGAAATCAGGGATTGAGGCTTCTTGTTCCTTACCGCCCTCAGAGCCATTCCTACTAAACCCTAAACCCTAAACCCTGTCAAACACCGGGGTGCTGCTACTAAGGCAGCAGAAGTTTGACGAAGCCTTGCAGGCCGGGAGCGCGAGCAAGAGCGAGTAGGGTTTAGGGTTTAGGGTTTAGGGTCCTTGCCTGAGCATTCAACAAGACAGCAGAAGAGAGAGTTCGAGTCAGCCAGAAATATGCAGAGAAGCCCCCCCTTAACCCTAAACCCTAAACCCTACACACCTTAAACCCTAAGCCCTAAACCCCTGCAGAAAAGGAGCCACTACACTTAAAAAAAAACCCAAACCCTAAAACACATAGCATGTCCTGTCACAGTTGCGGCTTAGCCCCAAAAGCCTCAGCCTTGCCTGAGCCCGGGCCAAGAACTCTGAGATGCTGGGTCCTTGAAGCTTGGAAATCTCAAGCTTAGTATATCATATCATATCATATCATATCATATCATATCATATCATATCATATCATATCATATCACATCCTATTCTGTCATATTATACTGTATTATGTTATATTGTACTATGTTAAATAGATATGGGTATATATACACACATATATTTGTTTCTTTTTGTTGTTATTCTAAAAGTGCATTTGCACCCACCAGCCCCGCAAAGCTGCACCGTGCCTCATGGCAACAGCCATCCAAGTCGCCGCTGTGAATACGCAGCATCCACGTTGTCAATACTGCCAGTATGGATGTGGCCTATGATTCTGGAGAGATCTATGCCCCTGACATCTGAGTGGAGAATACGATCATCCACCGACTCTCTATACATTCTCTGCCCATTTCGTTTTTTGTCTTGAGGCTTCGAGGCTCGAGATGTCGGTTTTGGGACCCCTAAATCCCCAAACACCTGTTCCCAGCCGCTTTCTCGCAGGCTTTGGAGAAGGCCGTCCAGGGAACAGGGACGGAGAAGGCGCTGCGGCTCACCTGCTACTGTCTTGGGGCAGTCCAAGAGGTCCGGGATTTCGGGTTTACGGGGCTTCATGGTTTTGAGGAGATCTGTAAAGCGATCAGGAGACCCGTCAGCTGGCACCAGAGGCCTGCCTCGAGCAAAGCACCCAAAGGAATGTAGTCATAAATTCTCAATCTGCTGCTGCCGGCCGTGGCTCGTTGATGATGTCGTAATCACGACCTTCAGTCTACATCTTACCATGCTCACGACGTTCAAGCTCCTTTCAGATGAGTATGGGGGTTTCCAAAAATAGGGGACCCTAATATAGGGCTTGCAAAGTAATATAGGGGACTTAATAGTTAGAATAGGGTTTGGGGGATCTTATACTTTAATTCTAATAGGGAACCCCAAAACCCTATTCTAATTATTAAGGTCCCCTACATTAACCCTATAACCCCTAAAGCCTAGTCAAGCCTCACGTGGTGCGACAGGCCAGCATCCAGTATGGCATCTCACAGGTCTATGCTGCCATGGGCGGCAAAGGCCCGGTCACACTCAGGTCTCTGTGAAGCACTACAATAAAGCATAATGAGATATATCAAACTATAATGTATTATAACATTCCGTCTGACCTGAGGCAGAAATCTGAGTCATGGGCCGGCGAAGAATCCTTTAGTTGCGGGGCCTGCCCACATTTTGGAGCCTTTGCCAGGCGTTAGCAGCGCCGTGGATGCCCTGAAGAAAGCCAGGGCCTTCATGAAGGAGGACGGGAACAAGGTGCGGCCCTGGGCATTGGAATCGGATCTCGTTTGTGATGGCCGTGATGGTCACCATGTGTGTGGCCTTACTGCCGCCGCCGCTGCTGTTGCTACTGCTGGGGCTGCTGCCGGCAAACGGCCGAACTTCGGGTTTCAGGAGACTCTGACACGAGGCACTCATGCCCTTGGACGTCTAGCACGCTCTTCAACCGGTGCTACAGCTGTACCCTTGTGTCTTGAGGCCTTCTCTTCAAAGCAGTAGGCCTCAAACCCAAAGCCAACGTCTGCGCACTCAAGCCTGGGCCCAGGAGCTCGGAAAGCGTTGACAACATAAACTCAACACTGCAATGCTTGCACTTCAAGGTCCATAACGAGCAGTGTACAAGCTTCAACACGGGGTTCTAAGTAGGTAGGTAGGTATCCACATGCATCGACAGTGCCAGATATGCCGTATAGAACACCCCATGCGCAATCTACAAAAGTTTGTTCCAGACAACCTCTAAGTTGAGATGGTCTCCAAGGATGGTGAGCTGGAAGTGCTGCAGATCATGTCCGAGCTCATGCTCAGCAAGCAGCAGGCAGAGAGTCAAGATTCGCAATGCAACCCCGAGAGGTTCGAGGTGGTGAAGCTCTGAGCCAGCTGCCGATAAACAGGGGAAAGCCATCTGCATGCCCCAAGATCAGTCGCCCTCTATTTGGTGTTGCGCCTTACTCCCTTCAATCAGGATCTACTTAAGTGGGGTTCACAATTATAGCCCATATCATGGGACTCATAACCCTAAACCCTAAACCCGATACTTTAAGGAACCCTTAAAGGAGCCCGACGAAGAACCTCAAAAACCAAGTCCGAAAAGTTCCGATTGCCAGGGCACCGATGCCGTCGCCACCGGCCAGGAGGCCCTTGCAGTGGTACAGGCGCCATGGACAGGGCTTAGGGTTTTAGGGTTTTAGGGTTTTAGGGTTTTAGGGTTTAGGGTTTTAGGGTTTAGGGTTTAGGGTTTTAGGCTTTATTTTTCCTTTGTATGTTGATTTTATGCATCTATTAGTATTATGACTACGATTCCTAATGTTCCGAATATTGTTAAGCTTATTACTTATTATGGCTATTAAAACTATTACTACCATGTTATTATTGTTATTGTTGCGAGTACCATGTTTATAACCATACTTGGCTCATCTAAGACAAGAAGGGTCTTGCTAGTCCTTTCAGGAATCCTTGAACCTGGCAATGAGCCACTGCCCCCTCTACCAGCACCATGTGCTACGGCTACTTGCCCTGCGAGTATGCAGATGTTGCGAAAGAAGCAAGTACTTGGAGGTTCATGGGTAGTCATAAGTGGATTTATAAGTCCCCTGATATGGGTTATAAGTACAG